CAAACTGCCTAGGCATCTACAAAGCCAGTACGTGCAGGATCAGAAACCCATTGCCATTGTTCTTGAGTTCTCAGTAGTTCTCAGTAGTCCTCATTGTCCGCTATGTTCAGCGAGTCCGGTTTTATCCCAGGCTTTTTCAGACCCAGGCCAGCTGGCCTTGGTGAGTTCCCAATAGAACATCCCCATTGTCTCAGTGTGTGGGTGCACCCCTTGAGGTCCTGAGTTCCTTGCTCGTGCTCTCTCTCCTTCTGCTCCTGATTTGGACCTTGAGATTTCTGTCCGGTGCTCTGTCTCTGTCTCCTTTCATCGCCTGATGAAGGTTAATATTCAGGAGGATGCCTATATGTTTTTCTTTGGGTTCTCCTTATTTAGCTTCTCTAGGATCACTAACTATAGGCTCAATGTCCTTTGTTTATGGCTAGAAACCAAATATGAGTGAGTACATCCCATGCTCCTCTTTTTGGGGCTGGCTTACCTCACTCAGGATAGTGTTTTCTATTTCCATCCATTTGTATGCAAAATTCAAGAAGTCCTTGTTTTTTACTGCTGAGTAGTACTCTAATATGTATATATTCCATACTTTCTTCATCCATTCTTCTATTGAAGGGCATCTAGGTTGTTTCCAGGTTCTGGCTATTACAAACAATGCTGCTATGAACATAGTAGAGCATATATTTTTGTTGTATGATAAGGCCTCTCTTGGGTATATTCCCAAGAGTGGTATTGCTGGGTCCAAGGGTAAGTTGATCCTGAATTTCCTGAGAAACCGCCACACTGCTTTCCAAAGTGGTTGCACAAGTTTGCATTCCCACCAGCAATGGATGAGTGTACCCCTTTCTCCACAACCTCTCCAGCAAAGGCTATCCTTGGTGTTTTTTATTTTAGCCATTCTGACAGGTGTAAGATGGTATCTTAAAAGTTGTCTTGATTTGCATTTCCTTGATCACTAAGGAAATTGAGCATGACCTTAAGTGTCTTTTGGCCATTTGGACTTCTTCTGTTGAGAATTCTCTGTTCAGCTCCGTGCCCCATTTTATAATTGGGTTGATTAGCCTTTTACGGTCTAGTTTCTTGAGATCTTTATATATTTTGGAGATCAGACCTTTGTCAGTTGCGGGGTTGGTGAAGATCTTCTCCCAGTCAGTGGGTTGCCTTTGTGTCTTAGCGACAGTGTTCTTTGCTTTACAGAAGCTTCTCAGTCTCAAGAGGTCCCATTTATTCAATGAGGTCCTTAATGTCTGTGCTACTGGGGTTATACGTAGGAAGTGGTCCTGTGCCCATGTGTTGTAGAGTACTTCCCACTTCTAATAGGATCAAGTATCCTTCCACACATATTTCACATCAAAAACTCTATTGACTTTAATATTACATTTATCACCTAGCTTCCAGCCTTAACACACATGGTTTAGATGAAACTAGACTATATTTTGTAATTTTTTACAGTTGTTTCATATATTTCCAAACCTCTTTGTTGGTCATATTATCCACATATTTTTATTCTAAATAATAACTTTCACAACTAGCTCTTTATAACTACATGCAAAAACTTATATATGTTCACCTACTACACTATATCTTCTTTGATTAAGAAATCATAACTCCAAACCTTAGTTAACTCTAATTCTAGTAAGCTCTCATTCTGCTGTCATGAATATTTCTTCAAAATAAGGAGAGAAAATAAAAATTTGCTTATATTCTTTCTTCACTCGGTTCCCTGCTCACAATATTTAAATGCACATATTTAGATGGCATTTTATAACTTGCTCCTCTGCCCTCAAGGAGCATCTCACACTGGTCTACCTCTCCTATGTTATATCTTCAGAGTACTGAAAATGGATTTTACTTCTCTTTTCTCCAGTGCAAACTTACAGAACACCAAATTCATATTAGACAATCAAATCACTGGTGAATAATTTAAATAACTGAATTAATTTCTTTAAAAGTTCAAATTTAGAAAATTTGAATGCTTACTTTTCAAACCACAATTTTTTTCAAACATTTTAATCCTCAAAGAAAATGAGATACACTCCAAATGCCTCACTAAAGGCTTTCTGTGACTATTACCATGAATTTTCTGACTAACAGCATAAAAGATAAACTTCAGAGACAAGGCATCTTTAAAAGGAGCTAGTGCCAAAACAATGCTATTTTCCTGATGTGCAAGACCTAGCCAATAAAAATATTTGTTGCTATAATTCTACATAGATTGTTAGCCATAGAATACCCCTAAAAAACAATTCTCTAATGTTCTTTGAAATACAGTTACTAAAATTAACTTTCAACTTTATTTATAAGACTGTCTGTGGCTTTGTGCATACCTAAAAAGCACGAAAAAAGACAAAAATATCCCAGAACTGGAAAAGCAGTTATTATGTTTGGTTCAGTTTATTTTCATATTTTTATTTTTAAATCTATCCAAATTAAAGCTCATCATCTCCAAACAAAAGCAGGCAAATTCTTTATATAAAAATGGAAAGAAAAAATTCAGCATCCTCTATTTATTAGTGAGAAAATGTGTAAGATCCTTCTCTACGGATTACAAAGTTTATTATTCAGGTTAAACATCTAACCCTCCACTTAGAATTTAAGTGCACCGTGTGTGTTGCCTGAGAAGTAGAGATAGCAACAAAAAACAATTTAAATATATGTTTTCTGATCCCATATTTGCCTCAAATAAGGTAAGCTGGTCTCTATTCAACAGCACAAGCTATGTTTTGGATATAATCTGGCTTCCCCCCAAGGATTTACTACTAACAAGACAGGGTCTGAAAGGTAGTGGTAAAAGTTTTAAGAAGTAGGAGAGAATAATCTTTATGAAGGTCACTGGAGGAAAGAGTTATTTCTCATAAGACCCCTGGTAGTTCTTATGGGAGAGTGGTTATAAAAACAGAGGGCCTGGTATCACTCACTCTGCACCTATGGCTTCCTCCTGCACGGGCTCCACCATTGCACCCCACACTACAGAGACAGCTACTCTGTTTGAACGTTCAATTTTAAAAGTCATGGGCTATATAAACCTCTTTTTCATCTTGAGCAGTTATCTTTCAGATTCTATTTTTCCACTAGAACACAAATACTACCACAGTTTTAAAATGTCACTTCTATCTAGGTGGTGGTAGCACATGCCTATAATCAATCCCAGCACTAGGAAGGCAGAGGCAGGCAGATCTGTGTGAGTTCAAGAATATCCTGGTCTACAGAGCAAGTTCTAGGCCAGTCAGGGCTGTTATGCAGAGAAACCCTGTATGAAAAAAAAATTTTTTAAAGTCACATCCAGAACACTGTATCTTGACTGAAACTAATAAACAAAAGACTGAAATTGGATACTAGCTTTGCTACATCCTACCTGTCAGACTTCACTGAAATTACGTAAACTACCTAAGTCTCAGTTTATTTATTTGTAAAATAATATACTACCACCAATCATCTAGTCTTTATGACCTCCTCCAATTATTTATAACTATTAGTTATTAACCTTAATGTTACATGCTCAAAGTCATTCTACCGTAGAAATGGTATGAAGTGATTTTCATGTGTATCATCAGTAAAGAGACTATCATAACAAACTTCTTAGAAATTGAGACAGATCACTTTTGACATCTTTCTTTTTGCTACTATTAGAGTTACAATCACACAGTATATCAGTTATCTAAGTCATGTTGTTCATATACGGAATAGTATACCTAATTTATGCAAGGATAGCATAAGGCAATAACAGTTTAAAACTTACATCAAAAGTTAGCAATAATTTATTCAGTTTTTTAAATGAGTTTCAATATTTAAAGTGAAATTTACTTTGTAATTGACAAAGTACAGGCACTAACAAATCAAAGTTGGAAAATTTCTAAAGAATAAAAAAACTGTGGGTAAAAGTGCTTGTCACGTAAGCCAGAAGACTGGGTTTGATCCCCAGAAACTAGATAAAAAGCCAGATGCCATGGCACTCCTTTACAATCACAGCACCTGACTGTGAGATGGTGGCTGAGACAGGAGAGCCAATCAGCCTGGAGTATGCATCGCAGCAGCTACATGAAGCAAGACCCTACACCTCTAAATCAAAGTAGAAGGAGAGAACTGACCCCTGAAAAGCTGCCTTCTGACCTGCACACAAGCACTGAGGCACGCAATGCAATATGTTAAATATTTCTGAAGTATTAACTAGTTTCCAAAGTTCTGAAATGCTATGCCAAGAAGTCACATATAAAACTACGCTTTGTTTACCTATGGTACCACCATTCCACTTACAGAAAATTCCATCAAGACCCCAAAATTTGCCCTTCCAGTCACTAAAAGGAATGTTGAAACAGTTTTAAAACATTTATAGGAGAAAAGCCTGGTTATTCAAACAGTAAGACCAATTATTGGCTTGTGGAGGCAAGTGGGAGAGGGAGAGACAAGAATGCAAGCAGCTTTCCAAAAAGTCACTTTCCTTGGATCCTCACATTCCTTTCTGTTTTCAAAGCCAAAATTTCAGATTCACCTTTTCTATCCATCTTTATATTAGGCTGGATTATAAGAAGTAAAACTAAGCACTCAGTGAAGTTGAGAGTCATCTGCTAGGATACAAAAACTTAAAATTTTCAACATGTTTTACTCCTAATGGATATTGTTGAACCATGCTAATAAGAAAAGAAACAATACAGGGTCTAGAGATATACTCAAAGCATTGGCTAATCTTGCAAAAGACTTAGGTTTGATTCCCAGCACCCAGATGGTGGCTCATGATTGTCTGTAATCCAACTTTATTAAAGAATCGGAGAAATTCTTCTGCTTCTGGATAAATTAAAGATCAATAATCTGTAATGCTTGCAAGAACTTTAAATGGGGAAAAAGAATAGCATAACAAACATCCCATAATTCATATAACCAATTATTTCTAATAACAGTAAACAATAAAATTATTAAATAGGAAAAGTACCATAGTATAAGCTAAAATGTAGCAATTTTTTTAAAAAAAGAGGACATAAGGATAAAGGCATGCCTGCATGCCACCAACTTACCAATTCAATTCCCTGTGGGAAAGGCGTGTCATCCCAGTCCTGCTGTGGGAATCTCTGAATTATCTTCCCCAGACCTCCTCCTGGCCCTGTTGATAAAATCAAAATGAATCATTTATAAGATAGTATAAAATCCTGAATGAATACTCATTATACTACTATTTATTTCCAAAAAAAGATTTGAACAGATAGAGTAAACATTTCTTAAATTTTAAGAAACAAAGACACGTGCTTCTAAAATAACAGTTCCTACTCTAGCAGGAACTGACAGAGATTCACCAACACAGGAAAAGCTAAGAAAAGTTGAGAGGCCACATCATGGCAGTGACAGCCATCCATATCCCAATAAAAAAAGTAATTTTAACTGGCAAGTGAAATGGTACTGTTAGCACCAAATCTCAAGTATAGGTTATAAGTACTGTTATGTGTTCATATTTAAGGCTAGCCTGAGACCTTACCATCATTTAGGCAGAGTTCTCAGTATCAGTACTACTGACATCTTGGGCTAGGTGATTCTTAAATGTGTTAGGTGTTAAGTGAGGGGAACGCTACCTTGAGCACTTGTGGTATGTTTATCAGCATCCTCAGTGTCAACTCATTGGAACACAACACTTACCATCTCCTTAGGGAAGTTATTATAACCAAGAATGAAATGTTTCCAAACATTGTCAAATATCCCAGGACTGAAAAATCACAGATCTATACAATAGATCAGATGTTATAAAACTAGCCTGTGACAAAGAATGGATCAATTTAAAACTGAACTTTAGGAATATAATCTGTAAGAAAAATGGAAATATAAAATACATGCTAGATCTAAGTTGCTTTTTACATTCTCTCCCCCAGCTCCTGAGTGATTGAATCGGTTGCCTCTCACGTGCTAGTCAAGTACTATCCCACTAAGCCATTCCCCTAAACCCTGCTTTTTGTTATAGCTCTGGTTCAATACCCAGGATTGAAGAGCCAATTAATTAAGTAGTTAATTAATACTAGTTTGTTTTAATTATGTCCAATTTGACTCTACCTTCTTGGTAGAGTGTGACTTTTGAAATCTCTCCAGAAGCAACAAACTATTTACTGATTTCACAATATATAGTGTTTCAATAACATGATGGCTTAGATTGAAATGTTGACACATTTATAAATGCACATCAAAATGTAATTTATGAGTGGTAAGACTTCTTATTTGAAGACAGAAATTTGGTTAGGAAGTATAAATCAAAATGGGAAAATGATCTTTTATTCTAAACAAAATGTACAAAGAAGCCAGGTGTAGTAGTAACTGCCTATAATCACAGCATGTCTGAAGCTGAAGCAGGAGGATTACAAATTCAGGGTCAACCAGAGCTACACAAGGAAACTTACCCCTCCACACAAAAAGAAAGCAATAAAGTTTTGGTTATCAAATAACAAATAGGTAAATTGCTGTTACTGACACTTTGAGGAATTTAATGAGGCACCTATAAAAGCTAAACAAATATTTTTTTTATTTCTGTTTGATTTTGTGGGTTATTCTGAATATTTAAACTGACTTCTCAAGTTTATATTTAAGTTGTAATAACCACCATATGGTAGCGCTGATTGTGCTGGAAAACCTGAGACGACATTTTTCATAGAGAAGACTGACAGATTTCTATTTTATATCCACAAAAGAGTGGGTCATGTCAGTTAAAGTAAATGCAGAAGTACCTCCTACTTGGACTACCTATTAAATGAATCAAGGATGACAAGAAAGAGAAAGGCAGAAAATCCTCAACAGAAAACTAACCACTCAGTGAAACAGTGCTTAGCAGACAAATACTGTACCCAGATAAAATGGAAAAGAGAGGAAGCTGACATTTATCCAGGCCTTTGTGCTTTCCTTTCCAGCTCCTACTCTCCCACCTTACCAAAAATTCAAGAACTAAGATTACCAAAAGGAATCTGTATGCCCTTTAAAGGAATCAGGGGAAGAAGAGCTAGAGAGGATAACAGAGTGATTGAAATAGTCTTCTATGAAAAGATTATGAATGTATACTAGACAAACTACCTAAAACAAACGTAGAAAAGGTGACATAACATAACCTCAGTCAGACTGTTTTCTTTCTCTTATGTTGGGTGAAGCTCTTTCATTTGGGTCCCGGTAGAGCTGTAGGTATATGTAGGCTAGCCACAAAGGTTACTAAATAGTCCTCAACCCTTGGCAAAGTAGCCATTCTGGCCTTAACAGATGATCTTAAAGGTGCCAAATACTCTATACAGCTACCAAATACTAAATTATGGAGATGCTAGTGTCTATGAGGAAGATAAACATCTTCAAAGAACTGAACAGAGAGTAGGGATTAAGTGGGTTGAGAAACTAATACTCTGCTCCATAAAAGTGTATTTGGTATTCATTTTTTTAACAGTTGGTAATATAACTGACTGCATTCTATATGCTTAGAATGCATATGTATTCTGTTTGGTTACAAAATCTTATACCTTGAAAACGCTATTCTAAAACATAATTTATTAAAACATAAATGATCTGCCTCTATGATACAATTATCTAAACAAATCAGTGGTTGTCTATAGGATACCTATTGTGTCCATCTAGCTATATCTATGGAGGGAAGTAGTTGTGTTCAAGAGCACAAGTTTATACCATTCAGCTCTCGGTCTGCATAATCACTAACACATTACTATGGTTACTGTCTCACTTTACTAGAATGATGAAATAATTTAAGTGACTTTGCTCAGATACTACCCATAGTTTCTGACATATATTAGGTACTTAAGATATTTGTTGAATACAATAGTAGATATATAAGGGTACCTTTAACCAGTCAAGAAATTTATGACTAAAATTACCTGGATATAAACAATATTTTAGACAATCAGATTCTTCTTCTAGAAAATTTGGGGAAAAAAACACATCGAAGAAAATGTGTAGCTAAATAAAAAGATATATTAAGAGTTCCTCATTGCTCGTGCTCCGTCTCCTTCTGCTCCTGCTTTGGACCTTGAGATTTCTGTCCGGTGCTCCCGTGTGGGTCTCTGTCTCTGTCTCCTTTCATCGCCTGATGAAGGTTAATATTCCTGAGGATGCCTATGTGTTTGTCTTTGGATTCACCTTCTTATTTAGCTTCTCTAGGAACATGAATTATAAGCTCAATGTCCTTTATTTATGGCTAGAAACCAAATATGAGTGAGTACATCCCATGTTCCTCTTTTTGGGTCTGGCTTACCTCACTCAGGATAGTGTTTTCTATTTCCATCCATTTGTATGCAAAATTCAAGAAGTCCTTGTTTTTTACTGCTGAGTAATACTCTAATATGTATATATTCCATACTTTCTTCATCCATTCTTCCGTTGAAGGGCATCTAGGTTGTTTCCAGGTTCTGGCTATTACAAACAATGCTGCCATGAACATAGTTGAGCATATACTTTTGTTGTATGACCACGAGGGGTGCACCCACACACTAAGACAATGGGGATGTTCTATTGGGATCTCACCAAGGCCAGCTGGCCTAGGTCTGAAAAAACATGGGATAAATCCGGACTAGCTGAACATAGCGGACAATGAGGAATACTGAGAATTCAAGAACAATTGCAGTGGGTTTTTGATCCTACTGCACGTACTGGCTTTGTGGGAGCCTAGGCAGTTTGGATGCTCACCTTACGAGACCTGGATAGAGGTGGGCAGTCCTTGGGCTTCCCACAGGTCAGGGAACCCTGATTGCTCTTCGAGCAGATGAGGGAGGGGGAATTGATCGGGGGAGGGGGAGGGAAATGGGAAGCGGTTGTGGGGACGAGGCAGAAATCCTTAATAAATAAATAAATTAAAAAAAAAAAAAAAAAAGAGTTCCTCATTAACCAGGTAGTGGTGGTGCATGCCTTTAATCCCAGGTTAAGATTGGGAGGCAGAGGCAGGCAGATTTCTGTGAGTTCAAGGCCAACGTGGTCTACAAGAGCTAGTTGCCGGACATGCTCCAAAGCCACAGAGAAACCCTGTCTAGAAGAGGAAAGAAGAAAGGAGGAGGAGGAGGAGGAGGAGGAGGAGGAGGAGGAAGAGGAGGGAAGGAAAGAAGAAGGAAGAAGAATAAAGAAGGAGGAGGAGGAAGGAAGGAGAAGGAGGAGGAGAATAAGAAGAAGAGGAGGAGGAGGAGGAGGAGGGAGGGGGAGGAGGAGAGGGAGTGGAAGGGGGTGAGGGAGGGGGAGGAGAAGGGGAAGGGGAGGGAGAGGGGGAGGGAAGGGGGAAGATAAAAGGGGAAGGGGAAGAAGGGGAAGGGAAAGAAGAGGAGAAGGAGGAGGAGGAAGAAGGAGAAGAGGAGGAAGAGGAAGAAAAGGAGAAGGAGGAGGAGGAGGAGAAGGAAGAAGGAAGAGTAGGAAGATGTAGAAGGAGGAGAGGAAGGAGGAGGAAGAAGAAGGAGGAGAAAGAGGGGGAAGAAGAGAAGGAGGAGGAGAGAAAGAAGGAGAAGGGGAAGAAGGGGAAGGGGAAGAAGAAGAGGAGGAAGAAGAAGGAAAAGAAGAGGAGGAGGAGGAAGAAGGAAAAGAAGAAGAGGATAAGGAAGAGGAGGAAAAGAAGAGGAGGAGGAAGAGGATGGAAAGGAGGAGGAGAAGAAACAGGAGGAGGAAGAAGGAAGAGAAAGAGGAGGAAGAAGAGGAGGAGGAGGAGGAGAGGAAGAGGAGGAGGAAGAAGGAGGAAGAGGAGGAAAGAAAGAAAGAAAGAAAGAAAGAAAGAAAGAAAGAAAGAGTTCCTAATTAAAGGAAGTGGGAAGACAGGAGAAGCCGGTAAGAAAGTAAGGAGTGGAAATGATATAAACACAGTCCTCATATACAAAATTCTCAAAAATTTTTAAAAATTAAATCAAAAAAAGATTTGGGCTAGGTGTGATGGACCGCACCTTTAATCCCTATTATTGGAGGCAGAGGCAAGCAAATTTTTCTAAACTCAAAACCAGCCTAGCTAAAGCTATACAACAAGCCTGTTTTTGTTGTCTAAATAACAACAACAAAATTTGTTCAATAAATCTCATGTATGAGCTGATGATATAACTCAGACGAGCACCTGTTTAATATGTACAAGTCCCAGGCTTCAATCTCCACCACTAAAAAAAAAGACCTCAT